GGACTTCGTGTATAAATAAGACCCAGTTCATGCTTTTTGTATCATGGATTAAGTCGGACTTCGTGTATAAATAAGACCCAGTTCATGCTTTTTGTCGAGTATTAACCATCTCTGCTTCTTTTGCTGGAATAACAAAAAGAGAAGATTGAGTGGAAACATTTCTTTTACCTTTTTTTTTATTGCGATTTCTGGTTTAAATTGGATTTTACTTGAAGATTCGATACTTCGTCTTCAGTCCGCTTCAAGGCGTCATTTTCAGAATCCAAAGATTCTCATGCATCTTTAGTAGCTATCTTGGTTTCGGCGTTCTGTTAAAGGTTTTATGGTTTCTGAATCTCTGTTCCATACTTCCATATAAGGAGCAGGACAACTGTGGTAGTGAAGGGCTGAAGGCTTTTTGCAGTTACTAATTGAGGTCGAGGTCGAGCAGCGTGGGTCTTGGTGTGCGGCAGAGAATCGTTGATTTCAGCGCACAGAACACAAAGGTAAGAAGATTGGTTGCAAGCCGTAAGCGGAATCATTTATTATTAATACAACATTTTTTATCTGATTTTTAATCATTAAACATAAGACAAGATTTCTTGTAGAACTACCGACTTATTTCACTTATCCTGTAAGCGATCTTAGCAGCCAGACTGAATAGTCCATTCTGATCGAAATGCCCTTCTACTTTGGCCACCTGATGAAATAGATGCATTCCAGAGTCAGTACTCAGTACCCACATAAATAGAGGGTAGAGGGGACATTTTGAATTTATATTTGATTTCAACGAGACTAGTTTGGTACTTTTCCACGTTTGAATTTTGATGATTCCACAGTAGAGCATCAACAGAAGGGCTGTTACTTCATAAAATTATTAGGATGCTCCAATATTTCTTTTTTATTGAATTCTCTGTCAGTATGAACTATGAACTATAAAATTATTAGGATGCTCCAACAGGAACTTATGTTTAGAGAAAATATATTATTATTAATTGTTATTTTTTGTCTCAGATTTTTTTTTTGGTCTTAACAGGGAGAAGGCAGAGCTCTTATTGTATATTTTCAGCAAAAATGGTGGTTAGAAAGGTGGACCTTCGATCTGACACAGTCACGAAACCAACTGAAGCAATGAGGGCCGCAATGGCAAATGCTGAAGTTGATGATGACGTATTGGGTGCAGATCCAACAGCTTGCCGCTTCGAAGCGGAAATAGCCAGGATCACGGGCAAGGAGGCAGCTCTATTTGTTCCTTCAGGCACTATGGGTAACCTTATAAGTGTCCTTGTCCACTGTGAGATTCGTGGAAGTGAAGTCATTCTTGGAGACATTTCCCATATTCATGTATACGAGAATGGAGGCATCTCGACCATTGGACATGTACATTCCAGGACTGTAAAGAATAATTCAGATGGAACAATGGATATTTCGCTGATTGAAGCTGCCATAAGAGATCCTAAGGGGGAGCTTTTCTACCCAACTACTAGGCTTATCTGCTTGGAGAACACACATGCAAAGTAAGAGCCTTGTTATATTTTATTACAGGAATTTAAGTTGTGGTGGATGTTTAGATAAGACCCACTTGGTCTTTTAATTATTATTATTTATTTTTTGTTAGGTAGTTTACAATTTTGTGGTGTATGTTGACTTGTTTGCTTTTTCACAGTAATGTTTGGTTTTAAAGGTGGGATATTCCTTGGACTTTCTTTATAGAATATTCTAGTTTTCATATGGCTGTGGGCAAAATTCTTTTAGTGGGGTTTTACCTGAGATCCATGTCAGCATCATGAACCTTTGGCCATCCATCATGATCTCCTTCAGTTACAAAAGGACAAAACATAAACCTGGCCACCTGGGTTCTTCTGTAAATACAGGGTTTGGTGGGGTACTATGTCTTGTTCTTTTGTGATTAAATTGTGATTCAGGATGCTACAATTTCTCTTCTACTATAAGGTTGCTTATATTGCAGTTTTTGCTTTATTGAACTAACTTATGTTTTATGAATGGCCTAGTTTTCCCGAAGAATGGGTTTAGATATACTGGAGTTTTATTCCTTTAAAATTCATAACCTTAAGGATGCGTTTGGTTGCCAAGAAAAATTTGCGGACTGTGTAGGAGATCAAACAGGACTTTTCTTGTTTCAAATGGCAGTTTTTTTTTCGTTATTTTTTAAGCAAAACTGTTTTGAATGTAAAAGGAATGAGTGCCTTGATTGAAATGGATGGATGGATCCATCCAAGCATCATACTGAAAATAAAGATTTCATCAATTTTCTTCTCTTTTCCTATTCTTTTTTTTTCTGATTTTTTTTCACTTTATTTTGTTTTCTTTAATCCTACTAACAACCAGATGGAGCCTAATACTTCTAGAAAGAAATTAATTCCAACTTTTGAGAATCGCCAGAGATTTGTTGTTGTACTCTCCAAATCTCTTTACCATGTTATTATTCAATTCAGCTGTGTTTGACCTCATCTGTCCCACATCTATAATTACAGTGGATAATAAGTTTGGCTCTTTTCAACCGTATGGGTTATTACTTCAGAAAGGAATGGAAATGGTTCACCTTAGACAAACTGATCAGGATATACAAGCCACACAAATGCATGGACCCCACTGATTTGAGGAATGGCAGAAAGCCTGAAACCAGTTTGCATTTCTGTCCCTGTATTTGAAAACAATCCAAGTTTCTCAGTGGTCTCTATTCGATGTTCCTGGTTTATTTGATATATGTCTACATAGCTTGAGGATCATTCGGCTGTTCCTCTGATGTATAGAATGAATAGTTAAAACGAAACTCCTTTTTGTATGGTCAATTCAATTCATAGTTGTTGTTCTAAACCTTAAAAAAATATCAAATGGTGTTATTCAAGTATTTCCTCCTCAAAGGATCCTGCCTCTTAACCACATACACTGCCTGGTTGGTGGTCAATTCAATTCATGGGATATCTTTTGAGTGTGACATATCTTTTGTCCATAGGCAGTGGAAGGGCGAAGGTTGTGGGTTCATACTGTTGATGGCCTTCAGGTTCATCAAACATTTCTTTTGACCACAAACTGCCATTCTTTCTATGTTTCGTAGTGGAGGAGGCTTCATTTATACATGCAGGTTTAAAGGTTCTTCAGCATTAATCATTGTTTTGTTCATGGTGGAGTAATAGTGGAGGACATGTAGAACTATCTAGCTTTACTGACTCTGATATTTGGGCTTTGCTATTGATTTAACTTTCTTAAAGGTTAGTGCATGTCATCTCAATAAATTGATATCCAACTCATTATGATTACAAACCATAATAGATTTTGTTTGTTACAATTTATAAATTTCAACTGCTAGTTTCAAATTTCTTATTCAAAAAAGTGCTTTGTTATCAATGCAGTTCTGGTGGTAGATGCATTTCTGTTGAGTATACAGACAGAGTAGGAGAGTTGGCTAAAAAACATGGGTTGAAGCTCCACATTGATGGAGCACGAATTTTTAATGCATCAACTGTAAGTGACAATTTGTTGTATCTGAGTTATATAGTAGTAGGTCATAACTTTATTTGGCTGCGATTTGTGTGGTTTTATTTTTGATTTGTTTTATGCGAAATTAAATGTTGGTTCTTTTGAACCAATATATATGCACAAAAATTTAAATAAAATCCCTCAGTCATTCCACCCATATTATATGAGATCTACTAGTGTTAAATCTCCACAAATGCTATTTCCTCAGGTACTTGATTTAATCTCACATTATCATGATATGATCCTGTTTGGTATTTAAGTTTTGGAAGTTCTGTGGTGGTTCCTCCCTCAAACGATCCTTCAGTGGGCCTGCATTCTCTAAATTTATTATGTTTCCTCTTTTCCCTTTGTTGCCTGGATGTAATATCAAAGAATCATATGCAAGTTGAACTCTTCTGGAATCTATATCTTGCTGACTTTAGAGCATTTTCTTCTCTATAAACTATCATAGCTATACAGTTTGCAATCTTGAACTGAATATCCATTTTTTTTTGGTTTAAATCCTTCAGAACTCGTTCTACACCTTACTTGACTTGGCTCCTGGAAAAAAGGAAGAATACATTGAAATCACGACCTAGTTGCAAAATTATGGATTAGCAGGGGTTATTGCTTGGTGCAATGCTAAAATCTCGGGAATGAGAATATTGGTTCAAATTTGATTGGTCACTTTGTGCAAAAAATAGCTAAAGTTAGGTCCATATTCAGTCCACTTCTTTACCTAGCAAGTGACCTTAAGAGAGAGTTATTTTTGATAGACTTAAACATCTGAACAAAATTAAAATCCTGCCTGTTATTTGAAAATAAAAAAGAACAGAGAAATGATAAATCATATTTCCTTCTAAAACATCTACGTTCACCTCAGGCATCTTCTTGGAGTTATTCCTTTTAAAGTAAACTGATTATTGAATGTTTGGGGCCTTTTCTTGGAAAATGGGGAACTTTCTAAAATTAATCTTCTTCCTAGTTTCTGAAGTACTTGTTAAGAAAAGAGAAAAATGGTTTTTGGAACAAAGCTTATTGTGCCTTTAAGAGATCAGATGATTTGAGTTTAGAGTAGCTGATTGTTATATCATCTTGGGAGATTCTTTGAGGTTCTATTTCTAATATTCCTTGGACCTAGTGTGGTTTTTCAACACTCTTTCTATGTATAGTGTTTTTATTTCTCAAACATAAATCCCAATGCTCTTRCAATGACAACCTCAACCAATAATCTGTACTTCCTTAATTAGAATGACAAGTGAAAACCTAAGAAGAATCTCAGTTGTCCTTCATCTCATCCATTTTCTGATCAGGTCACTACAACTCAAAATAATACTATTGCCTCCACTTTCTATTCCTCTAACTCATGTGTTATGCTCTTTATCCCTCCTCCCTTCTCATCAATTCTTATCACTGCACTATCGCTACCCTGAAAGCTCTATCACTATCCTTAAGCTTCTCAACCCTCAAATCATCCATTTCACTATTCTTCTCCACCCCTGAAGCTGCACCTTCTCTCTCTTCCATTTGAAAAGATCCATGATCTCTCATTTCCCACCTAGCTTCTTTATGTGCTTATTCCAAATTTCCAATTGCCATCTCTCTCTCTCTCTCAACTCCACATATACTTAAAATTTGCAAGTTCATCTGCACCAAAAAAAGAGAGGTATTTAAATACTCTACTTCTTTCATACATTAATCAGAAAAATTTGGATGTTATTTAATCAGAAAAAAAACTATGGAATGTAATCAGTTGGGGGGATTCTCCATGAATCTTATTTAAATACTTAATTGCAAATTCCCTAATCCTACAGCTGCAAAAAAAGTGGGAATTCAGATAAAGTAGATGCAGATAAATCTTTTATATTTTTTTGGATTGTAATTTTTTTATTGGAATTATTCTGCAGGGTCTTATTTTAGCTCATTTTATTCTTTTACTTGATTTTCTTTTCATAACTTTACTAACCCAAGAATGATGTGACTTAATGATCACTCTTGGTGGACGATGGGGATCTAACTCGGTTGAAGTTGGATCTCATCTCAGTCATAGTGCTGGGACTAGGGATATAACCCCATGCTGACAAATATATTATCATAAAGGACAGCTTGAAGGAAAGTTGATGCTGTTCTGCATGTTCCCTTTATTAGTTTCTATATTTAACAACTAATGGTTGTGAAGGAAAGATGAGAAAGATCCATGAATGCATTCGTTTCATGATGGTTATATCCAAACTCCAAAGCTTCTGAGGAAATCACCCCAAAAAAGTTATATTGCTCTCAATTGATGGGCAAGGAATTCTAATTATTTTCCTTTAATGTTGCAGTACTGCTATGTGGTTTCACTTCAAATGCTTGTTGTTACTATTTCTACAGTTCTAACATTGATATTTGGTGCCAGGCCCTTGGAGTTCCTGTTAGTAGGCTTGTACAAGCTGCTGATTCAGTTTCGGTATAGTTCTCTTTAATTATTTTGCAATTTTACCTTTATTTCCCTTGTTTTTATTCTTCCCTTTTTAGTGAAATCTCTTCTACATTTACCTGATTGACATGCAAGGTGAACAATCTTGTGTGAACTCATAGAAGTCGCACCTTAATTTTGTTTAATGGTTCATTTTCCCCCACTATATTATAAAATGACTTGATCTCTGCATCTTTATCTCTTGATTGAACATGTAGGTCTGTCTGTCTAAAGGTTTGGGTGCGCCAATTGGATCTGTGATTGTAGGTTCAAAGAGCTTTATTGCCAAGGTATTGGTGAACTACGTGCAATAATAGCAGTGTCTTTCCTTTGTAGAAATGGATACCCATGCTACAACTCCTTTTCAGGCTAAGAGGCTCAGGAAAACCCTTGGTGGTGGAATGAGGCAAATAGGCATCCTGTGTGCTGCTGCATATGTTGCATTGCATGAGAATGTTGGTAAGCTTGAGGGTGATCACAAGAAAGCAAAAGTTTTAGCAGGTATTTTTTATATTTTAACATGAGAATGTTGGTAAACTTGGTTGCATTTTCTAGTGTTGTGGAGATAGGTTCTCAGTTGTGTATAATGTGATTTAAGACCCTGGCACCAAGGTTATTCAAATTTCTTATATGTCTGGGTCAGACTTCTACTCATTCAGAGACAAGCTAATATATTGATCTAGACAAATCCCAGTTGTTCATGTCTGTTTCCATCTGTTAATTAATATAAATTTGCTTAATTCCATGTATCATATTATCTGAGTTCTTTCTATACTGTATAATGAAATAAAAGACATAAAAATCGATTTGGTGTATGAAATAAACAGTAAAGTTGTGACCTTTGGGTTCTTGAGGCTAGTGCTACTTATGTGTTTATGTGTCTGACATTCTCACATGGGTTAAGATTAATAGCAATGTTTGCCATACATTTGCATTGGGTATGAGTGCATCATACATCACAGATCAGGAACATTGTGTATGGACTGACACAATGTTCAAGATATATGGTGTATGGACTTGTATCTGGTACAAGAAAACTTTTGGATTGTCTTTGAGAAATACCGATGAATTTTTGGATTGTCTTTGAGAAAGGGTGCCACTTGAACCCCATACTGTGAGCATAGGCTATTTGTTATCTAAATTGGTCAATATTGTTCTCCAGTAAATGTAATTGACTTTATTTTCTGCAGAAGGACTGAATCAAATCAAGGAACTAAGAGTGGATGTATCTTCAGTAGAAACAAATATTGTGAGTATCACTAGTGCAACATTGGTCTTGCTTTTCAATTATACTTATGGTTGCTATGCTGGTAATTCTGCCTAGTCTAAGGCCCTTATCTAGTAGTTTTGTTCATTTCCTCAGAAGAAAATATGGAAGATTCAATTTTTTTCTAGTTCCAGTCCTCTATTTTTTTTAATGGTCAACAGAATGAATTTTCATTCAATATCAAAGAACCCATGTTGTCCAAGAATGGTCAGCAAGGGCATTACAAGACAGCTACAGCATAGCTGTTTCAGTCCTCAATTTTTACCCTGACCTAACAGTTAGAAACTGAAAATGGGGCTATGTCATTAAGTTTATTCAGAGGGCTTATATCTTTCAACCTGGATCTTTGAATTTTTCTAACTTTAGCATCTGCCATCAACATATAGTGGGTCTATTGGTATAATGTGATATGAATCATTACTAGACATGTTTAAAAAAGGCCATTACCAAATGTTGGTCCCAGCTATCTGGAGTCTTGGGAGGGGTGAACTGGATAACCTAACCTCTGACATTTTTTGTGCACAGTGGCTACTCGGTTCTCACACTCACAGACAAGTTGAAAACCTTGTATGAATTTTGAGAATGCTTTTATCCTTCACTGTGGACTGCATATTGCTTGTTTTGTTTGATCCCTTCTAGTGCTTTTAATATAATAAATAATTGAAAATAATAATGTTATTTTCATTTATTGCATGGCCAGATATTTTTTCATGTATTGGAGGGTTCTGAAGTCATTGTAGAAAAGCTCACACAATTTCTGGAAAAGCATGGTATACTTGTGATGCCAGTAAGCTCATCCGGGTGAGTTTTCGGTTCTGATTAGTGCATGTTGTCATGTTTTTGTTTCATACTTCTATGGCATAAACGTGATATGCTAATACATATAATTGAAACTTAATTGTTGGCTCTTTGCCCCTCTCCTTTGAACATGAGGACTGCTTACTACAAGACCCAAGCATTGTTTGAAAACTAGCACAAATCAGCTTCAGGCTGATGATAAACCTAACAACTAAATGAACAAAGCTGCCTGTTTTATATGTGATTAAGGCCCACAAACAGAGAAAGAACTGCTTGCTACCAAGTTTGCAGATGCAGACCAGGTGGTAGGAATAGACAAAGCTCCCATTGTCAGATGCCAACTTTTTACCTAATGAAACATGGGACCTCTGTTTTTGCTCAGACACTAAAATGTAGAATCCAGTAATCTACTGGCTTTGTTCTCAGATGCCAACTTTTTACCTAATGATGGGTTTTTTGCTTTTGACTGTATCAGAATCAGGCTTGTTCTCCACCACCAAATCTCTGAAAGTGATGTCCAATATACTTTGTCATGCATTCAGGTAATCAGTAGTTTTTGGTATTTGGTAGTCTATATTCTGTCTTTTAGTAGATTTGCAGAACTAAGATTTGGTTACATGAATATTGCAGCAAGCCGTTCGTCTCCATGTTGGAAGTGCTGGAAATTGAGACATACAAAGAATCATTTCCTTTCTGTGGTCAGAAAGATGTTTGTAGGCACACAAGCAGTTGAAGCATATGTGCTAATTCAGTCTCAGCCATATTAAACTACTGTACTTTCTAGCCTTTATTTCTACTTTCTTCTTGTTGTACTTGCCTACCAGAAACTCATCAAAAAGAAAAAAAAAAAGGAAGAATCCTATCAAAAGCATTTCTTCTTTCTATTTCCATTTACCCATTCAAATAATATTTATTTACTCTTCCATGTTCCATCTCACTAATGATTTTCATGGCTTTTATGTCATCTCTGCCCCCACCACCACCACCTCTACGGTGATTATCAAACCTCACTGTTTTTCACTTTCATTCTATCTTAGAATCATTTCTTTTCTAAAAGTACCAGATCCCAAATGCACTGAAGGCTTAATATTCAGTTTTCAATGAATTGGACAAGGCCATGTGAACATGTTTGCATGCATGCAGACATACATGGATACACGTAATGATGGAAGTATATCACTGCACAAATAATTATTTGCTTGAATGCTAAACTATGCAAGATGCCAATAGGGATAGATGGGTCCGTTTGGATGGACTCCCAAACACAAATGGAACTATTTCTGAACATGCTCATCTACAGTTTACTCGTCCTTTGTTATGTCCTTTAATTTGGATAGCTGATAGCTCCCACTCTGCACTGCACTGCACAAACAGAGTACGTTTGACTAAAGGTGTTCTGGGCGCTTGAAGCACACTTTGTATAATCTCAATTGTGCTTGTACCATTTCTTCCGGATTATGCGGTAGATGCTTTGACAGCCCAATACAGAGCTGTGTGTTGTTTTTCCTCCCATGTGTCTAAACCTTCTTCTAACATTGACAGGGTAGATATATGCATCTTGGTTCTTTTATAGAGCTGTGTATCTTCTGTGGGATTCAAAACAAGGACATGCTCATGTATGATAATTAAATGAATCCAAATCTAAGCTTAAAGAGTGAGTACAATAATGAATCCTCTTTCATTAACTACAGAAAAAAAAATTACCGTAAGGGAAATAAATTACTCCAAAGTCAGATATTGGTCCCCCCAAAGGATTTTTTATTTGATTACTTGACCTCCTGTCTTAAAAAATGAATAAATAGATAGAAAAACCCTAGTCGACTTTTTTCTGATGTCATGTACAAATTTTCAGCCGAATCTCTTTCAATTACCTGGCAACAATGTGCAAGTTCATTTACTGAACTTTTCTATTCAAAAGGAAAATGCAACTTGAACAGATTTTGGGAAAGTTTATTTACTATTCTTGGTATTGACTGCATGTTAAATCTAGATCTCAATCAATTCACGTTTTCACATTAAATTTAGATCTTATTTACTTTTCATTGATTCATGTTTTACAAAATGTACTTTTATGTTTAAGTGAAATCTTGTACAACTTTCATTTTCTTTTTCTGAATTAGACAAAATCTATGATGCATCTACTTCAACATGCAACAAAAGACATGACTGGATATTTTTTAAATTATTTTCTGATATTATTAAATATTGTTATTTATATTCATTTAAAGATGGGTTTTAGAGGAAGGTTCAAAAGCAACTTTAGTTCTTAAATAAAGCGATATTAACTAAAGCAAAGTATCAAAGCTGAAGAAAACGATGGTACATATGATTTGTGACTTTGGATTTTAGGGGATGGTTCAAAAGCAACTTCACATTTATACAGTAGGTTGCATGGTCAATTGGTTTATGGTAATACTAGAAAAAGCCCCATACAAATGATGCAAAAGTAGAAAAAGTCCCATGAACAAAGGATATGGCACTGAACAGAAGGGAATGGTGAAGCAGTAACCGACCCATATAGTTAGGACTAGATGTGATGGATACATACATGAATATGAAAAGTAATTAAATATTCATGAATATGAAGTATCATATGGAGATGTTGTGAGTGTTGATAGATTGCTCTTGCTTTGCTTGTAGGTGCATCCATTTCCGACCTTTGGAAGGATGTAGAGATCACAGTAAAGAAAAGAATGTGTGACATAAGATTTAGTAATTGTAGGCGCATTTATGGGGAGCTATTGGAGGTGATTGAGACAAGTAGAACGCGATGAGTTCATGTGATTCTTTTTTTTTTTTTTTTGAATTTTTAGAAAAGATAATTGACATCTAGACAACATTTCCTAGAGCTTGCTATGACAATACTGCTATATGATATTGAAAAAGTAATTTGCTTTTTTTGCTTTTTCCTGGCTGCATCATGTGCTCTTTTAGGATCCATGAACTAACGACATTATGTGCAACTGAAACTGCAAAATGTGCAAACTATAATATCATATGGTTACAAAAGCTACTACCTTAATTATCATAGAATTTGTATTTGGGTGGAAGAGAGAAAGTGAGAGCTTTGGGAATTAAGAGAGAGAGAGAAGGTGTAGTGATTATTGATATAGTGTAAAAGTATAATAAAGAAAAGCAAAAAACATGAAGAGAAAGGGGTGATAACACACACCCAGCCTCAAATGTGAATTGCCTATCAAAAACAAAACCCCTCAAATGTGAATTTAATTTTGTAATCTTTTGAGAAATCTTCCATGTGGCAAAGTAGTCATGAACTCAAAAGGAGTCTCTGTTCCTCTCCCTCCCTCAATTAGTGGAGAAAACTTCTCCTAAGACGACATTGCCACATTTCAAAGAAAAAGTCCTCTTTCCTAGATAAGATAGGTTTCACATTAAAAAAAGGAATTAAAACTTTTGATGGCTAATATTAGATGTGAAATCTGTCCAGTCCCATACATGGTGGAATTAATGGGCGATATAGACTACGGGATTTTAACTTGTGGACAATTCAGTGGGTTTCCTATCTAATTAACAGTTTGAATGTGCCACAGGATTCTTCCATCTGTCAGAAATAACTGCGTTCATGCCGAGTTCTTTAGGCTTCGTTTGGATTTGGTGTAAAACATCATTGGTGTAAAAATACACTGATAATGTTTTACATTGATCATTGCATTTTGAAAATTGTGATAAAAAAGTGTAAAGTATTATATTGATAATTGATGTAAAGTTTTATGTTTGATGAGATTTTACATCGATTCATGATGTAAAGCTCTATTCCATCCAAACTTTAACAAATCTAAACTAGAGTGGAGTTTTACATCGATCTTCATTTACACTCCTTTTAAATGTCAACAAAACCGAATTGGTGTAAATTTTTACATCTTTTTTGATTTATGCCAATTCCAAATGTAGTCTAAGGATCAACTTCGAAGGAGTACAAATACAAACATGTACGGTGCAAAAATCTTGTATTATTTTATATGTATTTACATCATATATATTTGTATTTGTATTTTTTCCAAACTGAGATTAAGGCTTAGTTTGGAAACAGTACAAATTTAGGGGTGGATTCAAGCCTAGCTATTCGAGYTCGGTTTGCCAAGAAATTATGAGGCTCGAGCTTAATTCGAGCTAGAGATTTGAACTTAAATTTGACTCGAGACAAAAAGCTCATAAGCTCGAACTCGAGACCGGGTCCACAGCCCTATTTCTTAGCTAAATCCGTAACARGACCCTCTTCTACCCACATCCTAACTAGAGGAAGCCGCTTCACGAAGACAGGCTTTGCAGCCCTCCCGTCTCGCCTTTTCCAGTTTGGTTGGCCCACTTCCAAAGTGACAGATATCCGATGATCTCTAACTCACTTTCTTTTGCAAGAAAGTTCAGCCCCTATTTTTGTATTTATATTCCTAATATAAATACAAGTATGTACAATACAAATACATATAAAATAATATAAAATACAACGATTTACAGTCTACATATTTGTATTTATACTCGTTGCAAACTGAGCCTAAAATGTATTTGATTTGATGGCTATTAGTCTCTTATTTTCTATCAAACCAAACATAGCGCAAGTGACTAGGTGGTTCAGGATGATCCATAATCCATTCTGTAAGTGCCACAGATGGTTTGGATTGGAAACAAACATTTGGATTATGGGCGAATCATGGACCCGCATTCAGGATCTTACAATTAGTGGACTCAGCACAAACCCAACTTAATGGGCGGCCTACCAATTGCCTGGGCTGACGAGCCCATCTCAAGCCCACCGAGCAGCTAACAGTAACACGACTCTCCCCTTAATTACTTTGTTCCTTCTGTTCCCTCTCCGTGCAGGGCATCATCGACAGGACCATCAGTAAAGAGAGATCCTACTAGTCTTTCAAGTTTCCAAAGGAGCATCTGATCCTTTTCTTCCTCAGCTGTTTAAGGTAGTACAAATTATACATTAAGGCTGCATTTGACATTCCTTATTTTAAGGACTTACCTCCTTTTTACTGTGAAAATGCCTCTATAAACACTGAATTCTTAAAATAAGGAATGCCAAATGCACCTTAAGAATTGTCTTTTACTTTGTGAACATTGCTTAAGTGAAGTTATATGATAACTCTTTCTCTGGTTTGGGTTGGGGGAGTGATTTTGACACAATCTCGTTTTTGATAGGTGCACACACCCGATCCTGAGGTTGAACCGCTTTTTCCTCTTCAGTGGTTCAGCTGTTCTGATTAATAGATCATCCCATGATCCAGTAACCTGCTAAATGGGTTGGATGGGTCAACGATTCAACTAGGGTTGCAACTTGGGCAAGTTTGGGTTAGACCGACCCAATGGCCTAAGCCTGAAGCAGTGTAAAATACTAACTCGGTTCAATATGAGTTTCAATGCTAGTTTCAACGTTCAGATTCACAGGCTATTGGTTAAACCAACAATTTTCTGTGATATAATTAGTTAGAGATTGGCCCAAATCAGGATTATAACCAGATCATCCGGTTGTTGGTCCGACCGGCTAGATCAATGATGGATTTAAATTTAAATCAAGGGAAAATTTCTGATCAGTACAAATCCAGTCCCCAAACTTTAAAACGTGTCTCTGCAGTACTCTAAACTTTCAAAATATATCTCTTTAGTATCTTGAAGTTTCAAAACGTGTCTTTGCATTAAATAATTTCAAAATAGCAAAATTATGCTTTATGATATTTTTCTGAGCATTTTACCCATTTCGTTTGAGTGTTACGGTTTGTTACAGGACCAAGCACATTGGGATTGCATACGAGCTAATGACTATCCAGACCTTACCAAGAGCTTTTTAGAATTCGTAATGTGGAGACGGGGAAGAAATATGAGTACTTGGTAAACTGAATAGTGAAATCAAGAGCGGAGGTCTATGTATTTTCGTCACCCATACCCATAGAACAATTTGCTGAATTTGCAGGAATTAACGCCATCTTGGGCTTCCCATTG